TTAGTTGTTATAATTAATGTTGGTTAACAAAAAAATCTTTTACTGTTATATCTATTTTCTTCTCATCAAACCAACATATATGTATACCTTATTGCCCTTATCAATTATTTATTTTGCATAACCATCTATAAGTTACTAAATTACTACTTACTAATTATAAAACTTAGTTACATTTTTGTTATCTACTTTCATATATCCAATAACATTATACCTTTATAACATATTCAAAATAAGAATTAATTAATTAAATTTCTAGACCTTTTTTTTCCAAATCATTGTTTGCAATTTATATCCAAATTCCTTATATTAAGCCAGTACATATATATGTCATTAACTATAACTCTTATCATTTCATTATTATTACTATTATTATTATCATTAATATTTGTAACGAAATCATTTATTAACTTACATCCAGCTTCCTCACCTCCATCCAACATAGAAATATACCTTGTTACCATTATCAACTATTTATTTAAGCAAGCAATTTAAAAAAGTCCCGTTTTTTTCCCAGTGCCGTTGTAACTTTGAACGATCGCTAAAGGAGCGATCGTTGCAAGTCGCTCTGTAGCCTGTAGCCTCTGTAGCCTGTAGCCTTTCCCTCCTTTCTTCAGAACAATATCTTAAATGAGTTTGTGGTTTCCCACTAGGGCAATCGGAGATCGAAAGAGCTTGCGAGCTTCTCTTCCAGAAAGCTGAAATGATAGACTACCGCTTTGAAGTCAGAGATCGCTCCGTGGATGGCTTACTTATCTTGCCGTTGTATGGCTGCATGCCAACAGGTGAGCATAACAGATTTGCAAGGGCCCTTGGAGGTCTTCTAGTCCAACCCCCCCGTTTAGGCAGGAAACCCTTCACCACTTCAGACAAATGGTTATCCAACATCTTCTTAAAAACTCCCAGTGTTGGAGCATTTACAACTTCTGGAGGCAAATTCTGTTCCACTGATTAATTGTTCTAATTGTCAGGAAATTTCTCCTTAGTTCTAAGTTGCTTCTCTCCTTGATTAGTTTCCTCCCATTGCTTCTTCTGCCTTCAGGTGCTTTGGAGAATAGTTTGATCCCCCTCTTCTCTATGGCAGCCCCTCAAATACTGGAATACTGCTAGCATGTCACCCCCTACTCCTTCTCTTTGTTAGATTTAGATTTAAATTAGTTCACCAAGACACTGTAAGACCGGAGACTCAAGTTCAGCTTACTCTATGTGTGAAAGAATAACAGAATTGGAAGGGACCTTGGAGGTCTTCTAGTCTAACCCTCTGCTCAGGCAGGAACCCCTACACCACTTCAGACGAATGGTTTTCCAACATCTTCTTAAAAACTTCCAGTATTGGGGCATTCACAACTTCTGGAGGCAAGTAGTTCCACTGGTTAATTGTCCTCACTGTCAGGAAATTTCTCTTTAGTTCCAGGTTGCTTCTGTCCTTGATTAGTTTCCACCCATTGCTTCTTCTTCTACCCTCAGGTGGCTTGGAAAATAGCTTGACTCCCTCTTCTTTGGGGCAGCCCCTGAGATATTGGAACACTGCTATCATGTCACCCCTGGTTCTTCTTTGCCTTAAAATTCTTTTATTGCACGTATCCGGATTTTCTCAGAGTTGTGTCCTTAACATCTACTGCATTTTCCAGCATTCTATAAAATGTTGTGGCAACATTTTTCCTTAGCCTTTTTTTCAAAATCTCATTTGGCCCCCAGAGTTGTGGGTACTCCCATCAGTGGAAGGTTTCCAAGACTATATGCTAAGTGTTGTATCTAGTGTTTTATGGTGAATGTATTTTTACAATGACTATAATAATGATCTATCACTATTGATGTATATACACTGTGAGCTTATGCACTGGAGGCAAATTCCTTGTGTGCCCAATCACACTTGGCCAATAAAGAAGGATAATTCTAAAAGATAGGACCACCGTTTAAATGTGATTGTATAAGGCAGGGGTGTCCAAACTTGGGAACTTTAAGACTTGTGGACTTCAACTTTCAGAATTCCCCAACCAGCCATGCTGGCTGGGGAATTCTGGGAGTTGACGTCCACATGCTGGCTGGGGAATTCTGGGAGTTGACGTCCACATGCTGGCTGGGGAATTCTGGGAGTCGACGTCCACATGCTGGCTGGGGAATTCTGGGAGTCGACGTCCACATGCCGGATGGGGAATTCTGGGAGTTGACGTCCACATGCTGGCTGGGGAATTCTGGGAGTCGACGTCCACATGCTGGCTGGGAAATTCTGGGAGTT